GTATATGAAGATAAGGGGGTAACAAGAATGAAGTCATGTTTTGGAGTCTTTGTTCCCATACAATCAAAGGGTGGGAATGGGATGGGTACATGTATTACTTTAATTTAAATTAATTTTTTCTTTGTTGTTTAATACTATTGTTTTGATTTTGACTCAGAGCAAGTTCTGGAACAGAATCTCTTTTGCCAAGGAGTGGCAGGGCAATCATGCATGCTGGCCACTATTGAAGGGAGGCAGGCAGAGGAGGGGAGGGGAGCCAATAGCAGTGGTGCAGCATCATACTACTGCAGAGGAGCCCCCTTGGCACAAGGAAACACCCCCCTCCTTTTTGCTTGATGTCTGAGCTTTCAGACAGACACACATTAGGATTTGGAAGTGTGGGAGCTGGAAACACGGAGAAGTCTCTCTCTCTCTCATGTGTGTATTTCTGTTGGGTGCCCAGCCCCAAGTCCATTGTAGTAGGTAGGCCTCTGCAATAGGGCCATGGATTTTATTCATTTGGTGTTTGTTGCAGAGAGTTTCCATGTGGTGAGGAATATATCTATATTTACAACATTAATGTAAAACCAGGGGATGACTATAGACTGACTGTAAAATGGGGAAGCTGGTCAGTTAGAGATAATTAATACAATATTAATAATAATATAGATAGACATTTGGAGAGAAGTTTGAGTGAGTGAGGGGTGTGGTTTGGGGAGGGTTGTTCCATGGAGAAAAGGAGAAATGGTCGCAGAGGCCCCCCTTCCCTTCCCTTTCTCTGCCACACTCGCGTGAATTAGGGGGCAATCCAGAGAGAGAGGGGGGGAGGGGGCGGCAACCTCACAGGGGGACTCACTCACGGGCGGGAACATCCAAACCCTATATATTATGGATGAATGAATTAGTTTCGTCCGCCCCGAATGAGGAAGCATATCTTCTTCTTCCCCTGGACCAGGTCGCAGCGACCGCAGCCGTCGATGGAAAGCATTTTCGCAGGAGAAACGGCCAACTGGGCTCTCTGTCGCATCTCAGACATCGGGAGGGGGGAGGAACGGGACGCCTCACACGGGAACAGGTCGTGGAGGATACTTGTGCCATACTATTGAGGGGTGGTTTTGAATGATTCAATAGGCCGGGTCCAGCCTTAAATGCCCAGATTTTTGGGGGCTGGAAGGGGAATTCTTCAACTGACCCGTGAAAAGAGCAGTTTAATGGATTGCCTCACATTGCTGGTCGGTTGCTTTATGGGAGCATGTGGACAAGCGCTAACCCTAAATAGGACCCCTTGTGTGTTGATTCCAACCAGACGGTGGTGGCTGGTGAAAGAAAAGGATCCAGTCAGTCAGTCAGTCAGTCACAGAGTCAGTCACTCACTCGCCTTCCGTTTGCCCCCATTTCTCCCTTCTTTTAGGGGAGGAAGGGAGGGAACCATGCTTCACTTTCCTTTCCTTCGCTCGCCGTTCATTTGGAGATTGGCCCGGCGAATTGGGTGGGAAGCGGCTTTCTGACCTAATTCCATCCCATTTGTTGTTGTTCTAGGCTCTTCTCAGTCCCATCTTCGCTTTCAGGATAGAAAGTGGGTTCCCTTGCCTTGTCTTGCCTTGTCTTGCCTTGCCTGGCTTAGCTTAGCCCCCCCCCCCCCCCACTGATGTGTGGGTGGAGGGCCCCGTTGGACCTAGCCCTCGCCCCTTCCCCTCCTCATTCCCGTTCTCCTTCCCCTTCCCATTTGTCCCGCCTTGCTACTTATCCTCTCCCCCTTATCAATAAATATTTGGGGCTTTCATACTGGTTGTCGCTCGTTCTGGCTTACCAATTGGGTGGGAAATGGTTGCACAATTTAAATCTGGTTGATACATCAAGTTGGCAATGCCATTAATGTTTGTTGGCAACCTTCCATGCAAAATTGTTTGAAGTTCTCAAATCGGATTTGGAATTTTAAAATGCTACTGACTAATACTCCACATTACTGGTAATATTTTTTGAATTTTGTTATAATGCTATTGATTTTTATGGTGAACAATATTTCTATAATTGTACTAGACAACATTGAACATGCTTCCACATATTAATGAAAACTCTTTAAAGGGAATAACAATTTTGCTACAAAGGATTTTTTTTTCCCAGTATGTTTTTTTTTGAAGAATAGTTTGCAATAAACATAGATTCCAGAATACTAGTATGTTTGTGCAGAATTCTGTGCTTGAAGCCCTACTTTCCTTCTAGAAGCCCATGTTAAACCAACTCACAATTTATTACTGTAAATGATAAAGTTGGGTACAAAATAGAGTGCTCACTTATTCAAAATGACTAAATATTGAGAATTCCCAATTTCTTTCAAAAACCTCAAATTTTTAAACATAGTTCTACAAGTAATGTATGCATGCTCATCACAATGATGCAAAGTTAAAAATTAAGGTGATATTCGTTAATATGTCTTGCAAGAAAAAAAATAAAAATAGAATGGTATTCCATCAAAAAAAAGATTGAGGGTCACCAAGAAAATAAAAACTGAAAATAAACAAGTATATCACAATTTAAATCCCAAAATATTTGAATATTTCAGCATTGGACGTTTCTGTAAAAGAATTAATTAGTTATGCTTGTATGGCTTCTTATCCTTACTATTGTGACTATCTTTTGAACACTGTTTCAAATTAATACAACGGATAAAACAATTCTTCCACGGAGTTCAAATTTGCACGAAGTAGAATGTATGTTTTCATCTTGTTCTCATGTGATTTTCGTTTTGATATCTTCATGAATACAAGGAAAAATCAGTATTTTAAGAGATGATTCAAGTCTTTGTTATGATTAAAAAATGTATAATCATAATTACTTTAGTATATTTGATGTTAACATTTTTTTATTTATTTCTTTACTCATGTTATAGACAATATTTCCATTTATTTGAGTATAGCATACCAAGTATTAATTATTGATTGATAAACTGAAATAGAGTTTTACTTGCATTCAACCTGATAATTTTTCATTCGCTTTCAATTAAGTAGTAAAATAACATTAGAGGTTTGTTTATGATTTTTTGATAATCTATAAAAAAGTGATGTAGCATTTTCTTTTACATACATCTATAAATAAAAACAAAAATAAACAACTTTGATCACTGACTTTAATGCTTAATGCTTTGTACTTCAGACAACAACCAGAGCTTTCAAAAATTGTTGCAAGATTTTCCTTAGTACAGATTTTATTCCAAAGCCTGTGACCATGAGAATGTTTGGTTACAGTTCATAATCCTTTGTGGCATTGGATCTACATTGAGGAACCCTGAAAAGCAACATCAAAACAAAGCATGATTGTGTTGTGATTTGTGCTTCAGGAGGTGGGTTTTGTCCACATTCCAACTAACTCACACCTACACACACACTATCTTAACCAAGTTCCCTCTTCAATCTGGCTTCTGAATCAAACTCTCCCAAAGCACTCAGCACCAGTGTAGACCACAAGCCTTACATCTTCACACATGCTGCAGGATAGAATCACCACACATTAATGGAGCTGCTGCATACTTGGAGGCCATTACAATGGAGGATTAGTTACTAGTTGCTAAAGCTCACAGTTGTCCACTACTCTAATCAGAGGAAGGGGCTTCCTGCACACAGTAGTTTGTACATGGCTTCTGGACTGCAACAGGAGAAACAGCAGCTCACATTTGTGCCTTCATCCACTGAATCATATATCACCCTGCATCTTTGACTGAAGACCCTCACAAGGGCAGCAAGAATATGGAGAGGCAACAGGCAGCAAGTTTTCTTCATGGCTTACATGTGGCCAGGTGAGTGGGTAGGTAGGTGGATGAATCAGGGACAGAGCCTCATCAACTCCTTGGTGTCAAAGTTATGTATAATGGCAATCAAATAAGTACACATGGACACCCACTCCATCGTATCATGTTGTTGTAAATTCCTTGTCTCAGACCAAGCTCACCCATTTTGATTGTATGATGTGTGCCAATGGGAGTACAGATAGTGAATCTAAGCCTCTAATTTTGATATAAATGTAATTTCAGATCCCACTCATGTCAGTGAGGGTATGGGACGGAATAGCTCAATCCCATGGAATTCACTATATACATCACAAACATGCTAAGGGGTTCTAAAGAAATATCCATAGACAAACAGATTTAACACAGTGCTTTGAAAAGGACAGTGGATATGTACTGCCTGAATTTGAGTGTACATTGCTTTGGAAGATGTTTGAGCATTGGATTGTGATTAACCAATCATATGCTGAAGCCTTCACATCAAAATGTTAAATTTGTCTATTTAAATGAAGATCAGTGCAAACCTATTGTGCACTAATGTGCCGAGAAGTTTTGCTGGTTGAAATTCAAGGAAAAAGAAAAAGAAATCTTATTTTTGGAATATTATTTTTTAATCATGGATTAAACAAATGAACTCATCCTACTAATTAACCCAATCAAAACAAAACAAAACAAAACAACACATTGCATTACATCTATCAAGGGATATCAAAGCTCTTTTGACTTGGACATCCATGTAGATCAACAATTTCTGAAAATTTTATCAATGAATACTTGAAAATCAAATGCCAGTGATTTGCTAGAAAACAAACACAAGTTACAAGTAATTTGACTGGATTTTCCAGTTCAATATGTGAGACCATGCCCCATATGTGTAAAGTGAAGTTTATAGCATCACAAGAATTTGATCGGTCATGAATTTTATCTGAAGGTAACCTAGAAAAATATTGTCACTCAAAAACTTCTCCGTATTCGAAATTTGATTTGTTGGATACCAGGTCCTTTTGCAGTAAGACTCCGGATTTAGCACTGGCGCAAACAGTGTCCACTGTTTGGGATGGTTTGTCAAGGAATAAAACACTAATAGGCAACAGGAAATTGACCTCTTCCCATTGGAAAGGCAGGACAGAGAGCCCGAGGGGCGGGTAACTCAAGGTTTCTGTGCAAGCGGTGATTTTTTTCCGGATGTTAATTTTGCAAGGAATCCTGGCAGCAACAGCAGTGCTGTGCCCAGAGTAGAGAGAGAGAGCGAGAGAGAGACAGACACGGGGGGAGAGAGAAAGTGTGAGCGATGAGACCAGACTAGACCAGACGAAACTGGTCTCCTGCTACGGTTTCCTTGCTGAGCGAGTCGCCGTCGTCGTCATCGTCGTCGTTGCAGCAGCAGCAGCAGCGCCAGTTTCGCAGACTAGTGGAGGTGATGTCGTCCAGCCCAGAAGGAGTGTGATCCCAGCCCTCGCACCACAAGCCCGTTGCTATGCATTTCCATTCTCTTCTTCTATGCTTATCGTCGTTAATCGCACCATCCCCATCCCCAATCCCCAATCCTCAATCCCTATCGTGTGTGTCCTTTTCTACCTGCAACGACGCTAATAGGGGTATATGTCAGGTCGGGCCTGCACAGCCTGCTTGGGGAGAGCTGCTACCTTTCTTTTCTTCCTAGCACTCCATTTAACTAGTGCCACTCGCTGTGATAGCTCGGGAGTTTCTTGCTCATCAGGATTCGACCCTAAGGATTTTGGGTTCATCGCTAGTGGGTTCCTGCAGTATTAAGGACTGGCGGTAGAGTGCGGAAAAATCAACCAGATCTTGTTACCATTTTTTCAGTAGCGCAGCTGGGTTTTGCAGGAGAGGTTGTCATCATATATGAGCGATGTGTCCTAATGAGAACTTCGATCTAGACTTGCACTGGGCTTCGTCATCTGTGGGACCATCTTGTGATAATTAAAGGCTTCGGCGACCCATGCAGCTGGCGGAAGAGGCTCGTCCGTTTCCAAGAGTCTTACCCTCATAGCGGTGCCTCAAACTGCTTGAACTCGTTCCTCATGCTGTAATTCAGGTAGCTGATCCTTCGAGCGCTTCCTTCTCAGCGCGCGGAAAGCACTGATAGCCAACCTGCAGGACCGTCCGTTGACATTAGCAGAAAGCCGGGGTCGCTATCAGCGTGTGATCCTTCGTGTAGATGCTCAATCGCTAGAAAGTCGTCAAGGTATCGTCACTGACGACGCGTATGGGTCCTGCGGGTTTGGATAGGCGAGAACCACCGGGCATGGAGAGTTGTAGATGCACTGGGGTTGCTCTTATGGTACCTTCTACCTGAAACCAACCCCTTTGGTCGCTTCATTTCGAGCGCATGAGTGGAAACACAAAAGTACGACAGGACTCCGTTGAGTAGTGCAAATGACTGTCTACGTTCTTACCGGTCGAAGGTTATTCTTTGTCATCAGTTAGGAGCTCAACACACCGACGGGGGTCCAGGCAGTTGCATTTCGGTGAGGAGATGTTTGTCGAGAAGAGAACGCAAGGGACAATGATGGAGATACAGTGACAACTGTTGTCAGAAGTCATCATCAAACCTCAGTGAGTACCGTTATGATCCAGAAAATGATGCTGGGATCTGAGGCCACGGGCTGCGGCTGTTAGGCGTTCATAGGAGCTTCCAGTACATGGTTTCAAACCGTAAAGATAGATTCTAGTGTAAACAAGACGAGAAGCAGCATCATCATCGCTACTTCTGTGCACGAATACCGATTCGTTCAGAATTTGCGGATATCTCTCGTGTCTGCGACGCTGAAGGCTGTAGGCATTGCTATTGATCTTTGCGTAAACCCAAGAAGAGGGGTGTGAGGGGCAATTATAGGAGGAGTCGCGCTCTCTACTTGCTCATTCTTGGCTCAAACACGTGTGAAGATCCAGAAGGAAGGGTTCGTAGGTTAGCTCATGGAAACCGATACAACGTTAAGGAAATGATGCACGTGAAGGATCTGGTCAGCATGGGAATTGGTTTTGCTGGGTTTTGACGCACATCACACCATGTAGTGAAAGCCAGCTTGGCTTCCACGAACACAAATTTCACCACAGGCTCACCGTTGCCCGTAGTGCTCCTCAAACTTTAACCAACTTGCTGAAACAGCTGCGGGGACAACGACGATATCCTCATTAATCAAGCATTCGCATTTCCAACCCTTAACTCCGTGAACTTGCAGGATACAAACTAGCATAAACCGAATGCAAGATACTCATAGATTGCGACCGGAGGAGTGGGGAGGGGGAGGGGGACTTGACGTGCAATTTTTGCAGTTGTAACCTGACGGTGTCCCTGACAGTTTCAGAGTGAAGGGATATTTATGAAGTCTATGAACCACTGGCTCAGGTTTTCTCCTCAATTCCCTCCTTTGGCCCTTGACACAGTGAAGCAGCAAGCTGACCCCATCAGCTACCAGCCTCGCAGTACCAACAGTCTCATACTATCAAGTATGTCGCAAAACCATAGTAATAACATAGGCGGCTTTCAAAACTCGGCGAATAGTTGTTACAATCCTCTTCGTAGCGGCGGCGATGGCGACAACTCAAATTCTGCTCAAGGGCTGGAGATGATGCGGTCCGATGGATCCCTTTGCATCATGGAGGCCCTCACTAGGTCGCACAGTGCAGGTAAGAATGTCGACTTTTCTGACCCTTCACCTCAACATCATGCTGATTCTGCTTCACCAGCAGAATGCGTCTATCAAAACCATTAGTTTCATCGAATTTCTCTAGTACTCAAAATTGACAGCTGATGATTAGCTCAGCATGTGCTGCCTTAAGACCAAGTCTAGGCCCGTGATCAGATAACTGCTGGCTTTTGAGTCGACATTGAACGTTCACAGTTCAACAGTGCTCTCCACACCCACGTAGAGATGGGACGAGGTGGCCGTGATTGTGACGAGAACCAGTCTCCTATGTAGACATCGCTAGTGGCGCACTGCATGCCAGTAATCGTAGGACTCCTTGATTCAGCCCAGTCTCCTTTGGCTGGAACCTCTGGTCTTCTCTTTTCTAGCAAAGGTGCATGTAATTCTATCCCACTGTCCAAGTAACAGAAATAAAAGCTTCACATATATATATATATATATATATATATACATGAAACTTGAATTCCTAGATTACATGTTCCTTCTCAAAAGAAAGCTTTACCATATGTCGCGTCGGCCAAGCATGTTGGGGTCAACCATAACAATAATCACTCGTTCACCTGACTCTGCAGTTCACCCTAGAATATGCTTAGGCCATGCTTTGTAGCTAGCTTTCTTGACTCTACATTCTGATCATAGATTCCGCGAGGAGACGCTTTACATGCGTTGCTAACTGACAGATAACTTGCTTCGTAGGCAAATCTGATAGTTCGCTCATTACCAACTTACTCCTCAGACGTTTCAAGAGCGAAAAGACCTTTTCCATTTGTGCATTAAAGTGTTGACATAGTAAACGTTAGGATCGTTGAACATTCAATGCACAAAATGAAAAGTAAACATCCAACCCAGTATGTCAAGAGCATCCAACTGTTCCTCCTCGAAGACAATTTCAATGCTGAAAACCTCAGTGACGCTAGCTATGACCACGAGTTTAGAACTCCTCTCCTATTTACATCTTCACAAATCTGAGATGTTTGCTTTCAGTGCCACCTTCAGCAAGTTAGGCTCATGATTCATAAGGTGTTACTAACGACGGCTGATCAATCCATAGTTTCATCAAGTCAATTGTTCGGCTCCAAATTATGCACGGGTCTATCCTTGCGTGCGCTAGTCTGTGCTAGTGTTAAAGATGCTCTACATCGTTCATTTGCATCCAATCCAGGTGGACATGTCGCGAAGACTGCCTCTGAGGATTATGATGCCGTAGAGACCTTCTGGTGCTAATCCTTCCCAGTTCTCTACAGTCATTTAAAAGTAATCCCAAACGATAGGTTTCACTTCGGATAAATTGCTCCCTGCGCACTTAAGCTTCCTCGGCATAATTAAAGTCATAATCCTGGACTTCTCAGCCTTGTAGGCATGCGTCAGGATTCGTACCAGTCCAACTTGTTCAGGAGTCCAGGTCAAGGATGTTGTCGTCCTCCAAGTGTCACGATTTTACTTGAAAGTGCTCGGGTCTCACCTATGCACATCATGAAACGTCTACGCTTACCAGGTGCAAGTTGAACGTGTGAGGTGCCGTAAGTCGAAGATGGCACAAATGCTAACGTCTGCGTGTGCTCCTGGGAGACTGATGGTTGAGAGTTGTGTTGGTCCTTGTGGGTGGACAGCAGAGCATTGGCCGCAGCAGCGCGGCATGCAGTCGGATGGCGGAATCCAGCAGCATACCCTTTTGACGGCCGATCAGCTGTCGAGGCTGACGCGCAACGGAGGCGCCGGTGATCAGCAGTTGACGGGTTCCCACAGCCACTACGAGCTGCAGAGCAGCGGTACGGAGACGCGCGACGGGCCGAAGCTGGAGGACTTTCTGGGCGGCGCGTCGTTGGGTGGACAATACTCGGACCGGGAGGCGCAGCAACAGCAGTTGGACTCGCTGTACTACAACGCCGGAAACCCGGGTGCAAGTTACGGGCGCGACGGGCAGTCGCGCATCAACGTGAACTTGCCATACTCATCTCAGACGGGCGGAGGGTCTCTGCACGACGTGCCCTCGTCGTATCACGTGGCGTACGGTAGGGTTCAGGATCAATCCAGCCTGACGAACCCGCAAGGGTACGAGCACCAGCAGTCCCGAGTGCAGCACGAGCTGCAGGAGAGCAATTTGCTGGCAGGCAGCCGGTTGCACCCGCAGAACCTCCTGCAAGCGGCACTGGACCAATCCGCGACTGCGGAGCTGTTGTCGGATTGCGCGCTGCAGCTGCCGTCGGGAGGTTCACCGAATCCGGGGAGCGAGGACTATGGATTGAAGACGTGGCTGCGGCATCAGGCGGCCGCGGAGAAGAGGGTGCTGAACGGCTTGAGTGGGCTGCAACCTCTGACGCTGTCCATGAGCGCCGGGTCCCATCAGAGCAACGGGTCCGCTGCGGTGCACGGCGGCGGACAGCTACCGATCGCGGAGAGTCCGACGGGGCCTGAGCCGCGAAAGCGCGGCGCCGGGCGAGCTGGGAGCAAGGAGCCATCCCCGCGCAAGTCCATCGACACGTTTGGGCAGAGAACATCCGTGTACAGGGGCGTGACTAGGTGGGTGTGGATGGGTGCGAGCTGTATGTTGTGAGCGAGTGAGGGTCGGTCGCAGATGTGTTGCAGTGGGAGTTGGGAGGGAAACATGTGATGGGAGGGGGCGGAATGGGTGCAGGCGGGGCAGAATTGGTTGGTTGACAGTGGATGTGGGTGGGGCGGATAGGAAGGTGGTGGGTGCGGAGGGTGTGGGGAATCTGATTTGTGGTCTGAGGACGTTGGAGTGCATTGTGTTATTGGATGGTAGGCATCGGTGGACTGGACGGTACGAGGCTCATCTGTGGGACAACAGTTGTAGAAAGGAGGGGCAGACTCGGAAGGGACGGCAAGGTACGACGTGCAAATTGTGAAGCGCAGAGAGGGTGGTTTTGGTGTGAGGCGTTGGAGGTTGTTGAGTGGAACGCGTGAGGTGTTGGAGAATGTGAGGATGCGCGGATGCGGAGTGATTGTTTTGCGGTGCGCGGTTTGTGGCGAGTCTAACGGTGCGGGTGAACTGCGAGATGTGGAACAGTGTACTTGGGAGGCTACGACAAAGAGGAGAAAGCGGCGAGGGCGTACGACTTGGCGGCACTGAAATACTGGGGTCCCAACACGACCATCAACTTCCCGGTACGTGATGAGTGGTGTGGTGAGATGGGGTTTGAGGCGGTTGACAGTTGAGGGGCGGAGTGGCAGGGATGGGTTGGGTGCGGTGCTGATGACCGTGGAATGGTGGATGGGTGTGCAACAGTTGAGTACGTATGAGGCGGAGCTGGAGGAGATGAAGAACATGTCTCGGCAGGAGTATGTGGCGTCGTTGAGAAGGTAAAGAGTGGGGAGGTTGTGATGGTGAGTGTGAGTGTGAATGTGCGTTGGTGCGGGTGTAGGGTCCAGAAATAGATGAGGAGAGATTGTGGGACGCGGGAAGCGGGTGCGGGTGTGCGGCGAGGGCGCTGCAGAGGAAGGTGGCGGAGCGGAGTGGGAGAATGGGGCGACGATGAGCGCGGTTCTGAAGTGGTGGAAGTGTTGTTGGAACGTGGTGTGGGCAGGAAAAGCAGCGGGTTTTCTCGAGGGGCATCGATGTACCGAGGGGTGACGAGGCACCATCAGCACGGGAGGTGGCAGGCACGGATTGGGCGCGTGGCCGGGAACAAGGACCTGTACCTGGGCACTTACAGTGAGTGGCAGTTTGACTTGGGGGTTTGCAGAGGAGGAGGGGGTTTGTATGTGTTGTTGGGATGTGGAGGGAGATGTGCAGTTGCAGCAGACGTGGGGATCTGATCCAACGGTCGGCGTGGCGTGGGTGTGTGTGAGTCAGGCACGCAGGAGGAAGCAGCAGAGGCATACGACCTGGCGGCGATAAAATTCCGTGGAATCAACGCCGTGACAAACTTCGACATCTCTCGGTACGACGCCGGTCGGATCCAGCAGGCAGGTGCGAGTGGGCATCATGGAGCGGAGGCCATGAAGGCGGCGAAGGAAGCGGAGGTGGCGGCGATGCAGTCCCGAGTTGGTGCGACGGCAAGTCAAATGCACAGCCACAGCCAGAGTCAGGTGAACGAAGAGCAGCAGACGTCTACCCATTCGACGGGCGGGCCGGGGAGCCAGCTGACGTCGGAGGTGTTGTCGGGTCAAGGGGGGCTGTCGAAAAACCTGATGGAGTGGCAGATGCTGTATCAGCAGCAGGCTCGAAACAGCTGGGAATCGAGCTCGCGGGAGGAGAGCCAGCGGGCACGGTTGGGATTCGGAGTGGATTCGATGCGGGCCCCGAGCACGCAATCGAAGTTCCCGCCGCCGACGAACGGGATGCTGCTGCGGAACCTGATGGGATTGGAGGCACTGCCACAGGATCAGAACAGAAGGGGCGGCGAGAGTTCGTGCTCCGGGAACGGGGGACTACTGGGGCAGGGAATGCCGAGCTCCGGGAGCATGATGAGCACGTCAGGGTTCGAGGGCGGGGGATCGAGCGCATACCAGAGCGGCGACGGGAGGGCGTTGAACTCGCCACCGATGAGCAACTCGGCGTACCAGCAGCAGGGGCAGCAGGGGGGGCAGGGGGGGCAAGGGAGCGTGGACAGGGGGGCTGTGGTGGACAGTCCGAAGAATTCGGTGGGCGAGAGCGAGGAGGCGAGCTCGAAAAGCTCGGCGTACGATCCGGTGTTGCAGGGGGAGCTATCCCGGAGCGGAATTTTGTACATGTCGCCAGGGTCGGGGTCGCAAGGGAAGATGGGAAGCTATGTGGAGAGCAACCCGATGTCGCCGTGGATCAGCAGCAATGCGGCGACAGTGCAGGGACTGGCGGGTCGGTCGAACTTGAGCATGGGTGGGCACATGGGGTCGGGTCCCATTTTTGCGCACTCGTGGAACGAATGAGAATGAGGTAGAGAGTAGGAATGGGCGGTAGTTAGGGTAGGAAGACAGATCAGATCGGTAATGGTGTAAAGGCAATCAGGTTGAGCACTCGGGCCGTCGAATAGTTGCGGGGGAGATGATCGACGTGCGTCGTTTGGAGTGCGGTTCAGCGTGTGAACAAGGTTTTTGGCTCTCTACCCTGAGTGAAAGAAAAGGGGAGGGAAGTGGGTCCGATATTTAGCACAGTTCTACAGATGGTAAGTGTTGATACAGAGATATACGGTACGAGGCCCCCAGACATTGACATTGGCGGCATGTAAAATTGATCGATGGCGATGATGATTTTCCGCCCGTTGTGCGCGGGAACAATTCATTTCATGGGCGCAGTTAGGTGGAGGGGAATTGATGTTCATAGTACAATAATGATGGCAACGGTTTTGGTGAGACTTGTGTGTGCATTTGTGGAGTTGTGGTGGGGAGGGTGGGCCGTGTCTCATGGTGTGTGTCGGCTGGGATGGGTGGTTCGGGGGTCGTCGGTGTGGTGCCGTGGGAGTTGTATAGAAGTGGTGTTTCCGAGCAGTCCTAGGGCTTTGCAAATGAGTTGATTGGTTGCAGAAGGTTGAAGCCTCAGACGGCTTATTGATCTCTGATAGTGTAGACGAGCATGCTGGTTTTGGACTTTTGATGATTGTGCTCTGTTTGGCTTTCATGATGGTTTTTGTTAGTGAGACCGTTGGGCTTTGGCGGTATTGTTTTAAGAGTGCAAGCTGGCTTTTTTTGCTTTATGTCTGGGGCGTCATTCTCGCTGTGTTCCGAGCACTCGAGTAATTTAGGTATAATATAATTTAAACATGTTAGAAGATAAATCTTTTTAAAAAAACATCTAAATTAATCTAAATACTTAATTTGCATGTAAGAAACTTCTTTGATATTTTTGAAGAAAGATATTGTGTACCAAATATGTTTTTACCTTGTTCTACTTACCTCTATTTAGTAAAATATTATAGTCATATATTGTTAAATGTATTTTTTAAAATATATTTAACTGTAAACAAAAAATTATTTGACTTAGATACTTTGGTAATTAAAAATATATTAGTTAGCTATGTAGTTGAGCAAGAATGTTGGCCAATTAGCTAGACCTTCAATTATTTAATCTTCTAAGGTTGTGTTCATTTGTTATTAATAACTAAGTAATTATTATTTTATTTCATTCAATATTTTGTTATTTCATTTCTTATATTTCTTCCATTTTTTTTTGTTGTATGCAATTATTATTTATTGTTAAAAGAATATAGATAACAATGACTAAAAGGTTGGCAAAAGATCTTTTGTAGGTGATTTTGCAACTATTTTAATATCCTTTGATGATAAATTAGATAAGTCATTTAAATATAATGTCAGTCTAATTAATACTATGGTACAACTCAAGTCATTTGTTGATATAAGTATTTATTTTAACAAAACTCAACAAAAAAGAGAAAATTCTTATTGTGGATATGAAACCATCTTGAGGTTGGCAATGGTTATCAAACATGCATTGAGTGTCTATAGACAAATGCTTAAAATATTGATTTATATATACAATTAATATTGAATGGTATTCTTCCTATTACTTCAAAGGCACCTACAACAAACATTCTTTTGTTGCCTTTGAATAGCCATCATTTAAGAATTTTGTACAAACACTTTGCTAATGCTACAAAGTATTTATTATCAAATGCTAAAAAAAATATTTGAAGTTGATTTTTTTGTTTAACTTCAAAGGTTTTGCACTATCTATCTATCTTTAATTAATTAATTAATTAATTAACTATTTTTTTAAATATTTAAATATTAATATTTATAAAAATAAATATATGGACTATTTTTATATGTCAAAATATTTATTTGGTATTGGAGGTTGCATATTATCTTCTTTTGATTTATTTTATAGTTTTGTTGAAGTCATCTGTTATAGAAATAGAAGAAAAAATTATAAATGCTACATTGAAAAAAAGTGAGAAAAGATTTGCAAATATTGCACATCTTCACAAGCTTGTTATCATTCTTATGGTAGAAATCTCATGTATTATCAATTTTAATCATAGGGATATTATTCCTACATCTATAGATGAAGTTATTAGTAAAATGTAAAGTATACACTAAGAAGTTGTATAGTTAAGATAAGCAATTAGATCAACTTTACAAATGAAAATAAAAAGTCTTAGTATTGTAAGTATGAAAGATATAAAGATAAGTATGCTAGAGAATTTTGATGGAACAAAATGAAGATGTGGAGGATTTCTATAATAAGTAAAGTTTTTATTTAAGTTTATATCTTTTTCAATATCCTAATGGATTTATTAAAGTTGGATTTATCAAAGCACTTCTATCTAGAAGTGCTTGTTCTTAGTTTGTACCTTTAATAGAAAAATATTTATAACTCTTTTACAATTTAAATTTATTCTTGAAAGTATTTACAATCATATTTGGAGAAAGTGATTGAAAAAAGGTACTAGAGGCCAAACTCTTATCTTTATGACAGTGATCACATTTTGCCACCATATTTATTATTGAATTCCAAACCTTGCTTGCAACATGGATTGAAATAACAAAGTTCTTATTAAATTAATTAGATAATTAGTTGTTTATATAATAGCACCTTAAATACCTATAGTTTCATCAAGCCATGTAGTTACTTCAATTACATACATGACTGTAGATTGTTAAGCTTAAGGATTATAAGAGTCATTACTTCAATTGAGATTGCTATAAACTTGGTGCCATCATGTCTATGTGAAGTATTCTACATTGGTTTAAAGGCAACATATAATTTTTTTGATATATTGATAAGCAATTGTGACAATTTCTATCATCCATTGATATATTTTTGACCATTATGACATAAAGAAAAATAAGTATTTTATCACATTTATTGTTGATTTCTTAAGGAAGGTGTAGATTTTCATCTTTAAAGTGAAGAATGAGTGTTTGTTAAGCTTTAAGGAATTTAAGATACTTGTAGAGAGATAATGTTTATGTAAGATCAAAGTATTATATACAAATAATGGTAGTAAATACTTTTCAAAGTATTTTGATAAGTTCTTAAAGATTCATGGTATTGCAAGACAAATTCTTATTCCTTACATTCCACAATAAAATGAAGTTGCTAAAATAACACATCAAATCATTGTAGAGATGGTAAGAAGTATGCTTCATGCTCAAAACCTTAGGTATGAATTTTGGCTGAAAGTAATAATGAATATAGTATATACAAGGAACAAGTGCCTTACAAGTGTATTTATAACAATTACTCCATAAGAAGCTTGAAGTAGAAAGAAACCTTATAGTTTACATATAAGGACTTTTGAATATATTGCTTATGCAAAGATATCAAATTGTATGAAGTCTAAACTTAATGCAAAAGGTACTAAATGTATATTTTTTGGATATTGTGAAGATATTAAGGCATATAGGTATATATGTTTAGATACCAAAAAAAACATTAAAATTTGTGATATTAAATTTTAGAGCATAATAATACTTATAAGTATTTGAAAATGTATTTAAATGAAAGTAATGGTATATTTGTGGACACATCTTTAATTTTAGCAAAAGAAGAAGAAGAAGACAATAAAGATAGTGGAGATGTAAAAGAAGGTGAAGATTCAAAGAAGATAGAAAAGATATTCTCTATAATTCTTAAGACTAGTAATAAAAAAATTAGAGATTTTAAAGATGACGATGATGAGTAGTACCATCTTTTGAGTGAAAAGAGACAAGCTCTAAGAAAGAAAAAATCTTGAAAGAGATCATAAAGTGCATAAAAGAAAATCTTTTTTTGAATCAAAAGGAATATCTCGTGAGAAAAAGAAGACCACTTGATAAATGATTAAAGAACTATATCTTTTTTCAAGTGAAGAACATACCAATTTTGTACTTTTTATCAATCCATTGACTTTATGTTATGCAATAAAATCCATGGATGCTATAAAATGAGAAATATATATATATATATATATATATATATATATATTTATGTACAAAAATTAATCATGGATAATAAAATATAGAAATTGATCCAACTTCTATCAAATCAATCATCAATTGGTTATAAGTGGATATATAAAACTAAGAGGGATACAATGAGCAATGTTATGAGGTATAAGATAAGATTGGTTTTTAAAGATTATTTACAAGTTGATGGTGTTGATTTCAATAAGACATATTCTTTTGTAGCCAAATTTACCACTGTTAGAATTATTGTGGTAATTGAAGCAGCAATGGATATGAAAATGCATTATATGAATGTGAGAACAACTCTCTTGAATGGAAAGTTGAAAGAATCCATATTTATGGATCAATTTCATGGCCTTTTTTAATTAGGCAAAAAAAACCTTATTTATAACTTGAAAAAATTATTTTATAGTCTCAAAGAATCACTAAGGACATGGTATGAACATATTAATGTATTATTTATGAATAAAAGATTTCTAAGTAGCGAGGTTGATTATTCTATATATATGATGAAATCAAAAGAATTATTGTTGATTGCCATACTCTATATTAATGATCTAATCATCTCCACCAATATTTTAAAGATAATGGATTGATTAAAAGTAAAGTTAGAAAATGAGTATGAGATAAGTGATTTGAGAGAGCTTTACTATTATTTAGGAGTAGAATTTGTAAGATATTGTACTAACAAGACCATTATAACAAGTCAAAGTAAGTACATTAAAGAAATATTAAAATGATTTAATATAAAAGTGTGCAAGTCTAACGGAACACTTTTAGAGGCTAATTTGAAGTTGATAAATCTCATGAATGAAGAATTTATTGAAGTTTAAGATCAAATACAATTTTTTTTATATAAAGTATGAATAGGCTTACTTATTTATATAGCAGTTGGCATAATAATGAATCTTCCATATGCGGTGAGTATTATAAATTAATACATATCAAAGGCTATATAAATCCATTTATAAACCGTCAAAACAATCATGTGGTATTTAAAAGATACGTTGTACTTCAAATTTTGCTTTGGAGGTGATAATATTATTTTGCAAGGTTATTGTAATGCAAATTGGATTAGAAATAAATATAATAGAAGGTCAATAACAAGCCATGTATTCTTTTTTGGAGTCGGAGCTATTTTATGGAATTGTAAGAGACAACCAATAATTGCAAGGTCTATAATACAGGCACAAATTTTGGCAACAAGTTATGGTATAATAGAGGTAATATAACTAAAATAAGTTTTGAAGAAAATTAGACTTAGACAATTAGAAAACAACTTCAATGACATTTGATAATTAAAGATGATTTTTTTTTTTTTTTACAAAGAATCTAAAGCATCATTCAAAAACTAAATATATTGACATTCAACACTACTCTATAAAAGAGAAGATTAAAATGAGAGTGATTGATATAAAGTATTGTATAATAGAAGACATATTAGTTGATTTATTGATAAAATTAGTAGTGATTGAAAGCATTTGGTCGATAGAAAAATAAAAATATTAAAGTAAATAAGTAAGTAAAAAAAATATTATATAGAAGATATTACATTAAATAAATTGCTAGTAGTCAAAAGATTGGCTCTTAGGATATAAAAAGATTAACTTATAGATAAGCAATAAGATCAAAGGCAAAGTGACAAGATTAATAGGATAAGAAATTAAGTAGAGAATATCCAAAGGCAAGTGAAATGCCAAAAGATACACTAGATATATCCTTTGATGAATATAAAATTCAAATGATGGAAGTTACATATTAATGTAGCAACCACTACTTATAAGCAAAGGATATTAAAGGTAAGAGTTATCTTATTCCATACTTTTTTTTGTATGAAATTGGTTGCTATAATAAGTAATACATAGATAGCTAAAAACTCAAGGAAAAAATTTCACTATTTCCATTAATATAGCTTCATAGAAGAGCTTAAGATCAAAATATAAGCTTAAGACCATGCAAAACATTTCTTAACACCTAATAAGTTCCACCTCTCTTTTCCAAGTAGATAGAGAAAATCCTCTACTTTTGTACAAATTTTAAGACAAATATCAATAAAAATATTTTTTCTATCAAAAATTACATCGTAAAAGTACACATAAATAAATCTAAGTTCGGTTAGTATGTCAATTGAAACCTACTTATTACACACTTCTAAAAGTCTTATTAGTATCCATTATTGGTTCAAAGTTGTTCATACAGATATTTTTTGAGTAATTTGATGATATAGATTAATAGTGTTGATTCCATATATATATATCAAAAAATAGCTATTTAGATACTTTTAATTATCTCAAAAATAAGAAGGCAACATGCATCTACAATAATTACCAAATTATATGATAAATTGATCATCACTTCTAATTACCACAAGTCCAACAAGCACTACCTACAGAATACCAATAAAAAAAATCATATTAGCGATTAATTCAATCTCATTTTTATAATATACATATAAAAAAAATACAATAAAAAATAGAAAAATATTAGAATTCTTTGGCAATAATACTTGTCTATGCTTGCACTTAGTGATGATAGATTGTAAATAGATTTCATGCTAGCATTCTAAGGTAAAAGTTTCAAAATTTCGACTACAAAATCTGCATCTAAATTCCAATTTTGGACAAGTTTTTGGAAAAATAAAACATTTAAACCTTATTTTTTCAATTGTTTATCTATTTTTTTAATCATCTTTAAATTACAAAATAAAAGATAAAGAAGAGAAAGATCAACATCTTCAAATTAAGAATTTAAGAAAGTAAGCATGAAATAAATTCAAGTCTTTAGTGTATAATTACAATTAAATCTTCATACAAGCTTTCCAAAAAATATATTCACAAGACTTGATTATACTCTCAATTATAAATTTCTATTTGGTCCATCTCAAGAGGTGTTTATTAAAAAAATAAAAAACGTTGTCAAAATTTGTTTCAAAAATCAATAAAATAAATAAACAAACAAATAAAAATTAACTATTTAATACTTTTTATATTGATTAGAATCAAGATAATATCTAAAATATTTAGACTTGTGATGAAAGATTGGTTAGATCCATTGCATGACCTCTTATTAAATATTATATCCAAAACTCAGTGTTTCTTAAAAAGAATTTTTCTCTAATAAATTAAGGACCTTAATAAGACCTTCAAACTATAGTCTTGTAAAGTAGGCTTCTAAGTATTAAGACCCCCTTAATCTTTTTAACTTTGTGTTACATATAAATTTTTTTTTTCTTTCAAAAATCCAATTAAAATCTAAAAACAAATATGTTACATTATTATATTGAACATACAAAAAAGTCAAGCCTTATTACCAAAATTTTACAAATACATGTCAAAATTTTAAAATTACTAGTACAATGTACCTTCAAATTTGTATCAACATTCTAATAAAAAAAAAAGAAAAAGAAAAAGAAAAAACAATGCTTTTATTAATACTAACAATATTTTTTTGATGAAATCCAAAATCTCTATTTCATTTATTATGTCCTTTAATAGTAACCTTCTTTATTTCATCCTTCTACATATATGCATATTTGGAGATCTGATTTTTAGAAGTTCTCTCTCATGCTTTAAATGATCTACAAATTTATATCATTTTAAAATAGTAATATTTTTAAAAATTTCATACATGCAATTTTAATGAAAAATAACATTAAACCCTTTCTGACATTTGACAAATAAAGTTGGTATTTTACTCAAGAGTCAGTCGTTTTTTCTTTGGCTCTACTTTCAAGCTCCATTTACACATCAGATTTTCACAATAAATAGCTAATTAATCACAAAAATCAATCTCACTTGAATGGATCTCCCTCTCACAATTTTGAGCTCAAGATTAAGATTCCCAATGGGACCAAATCCCTTCCCTTTGTGATATATCATCATAACAGCAATAGCCAAGATTTGTCTTTCTCTGCTACCAGAGAGACAAAGCTGCCCACAATCCCACTCAACTTGAACCAATAGAGCAGTAGGGATGAAAGATAATAAGAAAATATTTTACACTTCTTGAGATGCTTCTTGACATTGCTGTCTTCGAGTAATCTCGTCCCCATAGCTTCAGAGGAGCGGCTTCATTTAACATGATTCATTCATTGGTTTGAAAACCCGTTCTTGTAAGAACACAACCATCTGCATCAATCTGAAACAAAGTAATTTTTTACTTGTCACATTCAGCACAAGCAGCGATTTCTCTGGATACGTAATGTCGTCATGAACATCCGACTGGCAAAAGGCATGGACCACGAGAATGCTCCAGATATAAAAATTGACATGCTCATTATAGTTCGGTTCAATGATCTGTCGTGTCCTTGAAAAGTTGATGAGCCCCTTGACATACGAATACATACTGGTTTGACCTCCGTCTTTTAAGTATCCACTTGCAGGAACAAAGAAAGTCTCCCGTGAAACTAAACAACCAGATTTCAGACTTGCATCCATGGCCCTATCACAACACAGAAGACACGACGCGACATTTAATCCTCACCATTTAATCCTCACCTCTGGTAGAAATCCTGAGTCTCGAATTCACGCCTGCTCTTCCACGGGATCCAGGCGTCTACGGAAAACATTGATATCAATAAGTACACATCAGAAGGTCCAGCACAATCAAGCAGAACAGGAGGATCGTATCCTAAGATGGGGTTTAACGCAAACGACGTATGCAGCACATATGAAAAGGTGCCAAAACTTCAGCTGTCCTCGACGTTTCCCTCCAGCAAGCTATGCTTATCTTGCAGATTAGTGTGCCCAATCGATCGGTAAACTTGGTGCAGTTAGTGTAAGAGCATGATGAGTACGGAATTATCTGCAAGAGTTGAATGGTCATGAAGTGAACTGTAATACGATCAATGAAGTTAATGGTGTTTGAAATGAACTTAACATGAAAAGAACTTGATTTGCAAGCAATGGTGCTCCAGGCACTTACACCTCATGCCAGGGATACACTAACTAGTAAATATAACTATGGCTCCTCAAATGAAACCGGTCTCCCAGCAAAGAATAGATCTAGGTTCTACTAAGGGTAGCTGAAAACACAGCCGATTTATACGTCATGATTCAATCCCGAAAGCAAGTGTTCTGTCTCGGAATCGATGTCCTTCAAAGGAATCGATGTTACCCGAGAAAGAGGATTGGAAGCGGTGGAACTTGACAACTTGAGGGCAGCGATTTCTACTCGAAAGAATATCCATTGAAACCTACGCAACATCTCCAAGAAGGAGAAAAGGAAGACAGTTTTGAAGTTGTGGCGTAAATGTGCTGATAGTTTGTAAGTCCAAGCAGCTCGCAACACCATGTTGCTGCCTATGGCCCAATAATACACCTGAATCATTACAGAAGACTTGTATCAAAATCATATAAAACTCGTTTTGAACAATTAAACGAAATACATTCAGATGTAGGTCACTTGGTACCTGACAAATACAGAATCTTTCAAGGATGTGTCCGTCAACTGTTATATTCATTCTGCCAATCTTCATCAAAAATGCAAGAGAAAGATATATACTAAGAATTATAGACATGCTTTGGTCATTAAAGACGCATCGAATTGTTCCGAGAACATGATGTAACCATTTACATCATTATACAATGATTACTCGGTGGAAGGACACCCAAAAAAAAACAAAAGATATTCTTCAACCATCATCAGCTAGACGTAAGACGGTAATACTGCTTCGTGGGGATTTTCCGACACCTGAATCACTTACCCAAGGTTGATTGTACATTAGGGTGGGTCGAAGAGACTGTTTGACAGGCTTCCATGGGCCACTCATCCATCTGCAACCACCCGATTTCAGAATTACATCGGATACGAGATTATGGAGCTGTACATAAAGTCTAGAAGTTCATAGAGCTGGTAATCAAAGACACTCACAGGTAAGAATAGGTTTCACAGAATAATATACTAAATCAAGGGTGCAGTATACCCTCAAAAAGACCAAGATTATGTTTCTTGGTAAAACAAGCTCATCAAAGCATTACGCATATGCAAAGAAGCACAGGTAGTTCACCTCATACAGTTCTGAAATTCATTTCAGAAATAAATTAAAATAAACTATCATATACAATAAATTAAATCAGGGAGGGAAAGGCACAAACCCAAGATCCCAGTCCTTGGTAATATCCCACCAAAATGAGTAGCAGGAGTTAAGAATTGCACACAGCACCCATAATGGCCGCAGGGTACTGAACCAATACGGTAATTCCACGTGATACTTTAAAGCTGAAATAAAGATTACCGGGAAGGTTGTTGTGTACTTTAACGCTGCAACCACCGACGAGAAGACCAGCGCTCATTAAAGTTTGCCGTCATCTCAGACGCAATTTGTAAGACTCAACATATCACTCATTTCCACATGACATGCAGAATTGCTGGATCCCAGGAGTGAATGTCAGCCACATAAACGAAACTGATTATGTTGGTGATGAGTTAAAATCGATAAATTTCCCTACTAACATAATTGTACTCTAACGTAACCTATCAGATTACATGTTAAAACCAGTAAACTGATGAACTGATTGTTGACACAGCCATACTGTGCAAGAAAAACAACGTTGACAATTTCAATCCACATCGACTACAGCAGACAAATTAGGCAGAACCTTTTAAACTATGTGATAAGTAAAAACGTACCATTGAAAAGACATGACTTGTCCTTGGTGTCATGGTATTGTCTTAAGCACTGTAGCAATCTGCTCAAGTATGGATATGCCAGAACGATGGGGATGTAAATAGAGTGACCTCCGCACGTGTCGTTTGCATTCAACCATGCAACAGTTGCAACCTGGTGCCCAAACACAGTTTTTTTTTAGAAAATAGTGTCTACTTAAAACCGGTTGCATAATCCTGAATGCCTAGATGAAAACCGGCATGATCAAGCTACCACGTGAAAGGACAAGCTGAAAGTTCCTTTCCGAACAAATCAAACAAAATACGAAATCAACACTGAGATGATCGCATGCATGGCAGACAGTTGGTATTTAGCCGGGGTCAAAAACAGATACAGAGGTGGATCTTCCAAGGCGAAAGGGAAACCACGTGATCACAGACACAACCTACACTCCCACTAGGATGAAGATTGAAACTGCCAAAGAAGTCAGCAATTCTTGCCTGCCGATGATACATCCTACAGGCAGAGCGCTCCACATCGGACAAAACCTGCGAGAAACGCGGTTTTCCATGTAAGATCTTTGCACGAAGAATTTTGTATCGCCTTGACTGACAGCCATACTAAATATGACGTACAAAAGACACGGCTAATCAGAGACGAGAATCAATGTCGAACCTGCAGATCCTATCTAAGATATTTTTAATGATAACGCTGTAAATGCATAGTCTTCAAAGGAACCGACTCGATATTTTGGCCATGGAGGTCAACAAGACTCCAACGAAGAAGTGGCCAAATAATACAGCATAATCAGAACGTTTAGTGACCTACTTTGGCCATAGAAGTCAATACGTCCGCCACAAAGAAGTCTGCAAATGATATCGGCTGCACAAAATTGACAAGAGAACATGCAGACGGTTATAGATGTGCAATCTGTAAATCCAAATTATCCTGAGGGCCTGCGCCTTATCCACTCTTATATATATTGTACATATGTATGCAGAAACGATATATAAGGTCTGCATCAACAAGGCTACACCAAGCAGCTGACCCCAAAAACGTGGCTTGGCAATATCTCTGCAAGTTCATTACCAAAATTAACATAGCAACATGTAATATGTTAGGGACCTCAAAAAAAGCCTAATATACGATGATCAGATTATAAAAAGCCTTCATCGGAATAACACACATTTCAACTTACGGCAGGTTGGGTGCAGAACGGCAATCAGCTCTAAAAAGACGTAGCATTGACGAACTAGAAGTGCCAGTTGACTATATATTCGTTTTTCTTCAACAGACAGCATCAAATGTAACATAAAAATATGACACTCAAATAGCGGACCAAAGCCAGATACCTCTACAAAAGTTCAAAATCCCCTCAACTATTTCTTTCTGAATGAATCGTACAGTACTGCTTACTGATGCAGCTCTAACTTAATATGTAACTTCACTTGGCCCACCTAAATGTTATTGGATTCGGTTAACTCAAGTTTGGATGACAAGGTTTGAACACATGCGTGATATTTTAAATCTTGAGTGTGGATGACAAGGTTTAAACTCAAGATTTAAAATATCCTTTTTAGTCTGGGCTTTTCTTTTTCTGGTCGAAAAACAAACCTGAATGGGAAAAGTAAGGCGAACAAGTGTCCTGAGGAAGTAGAATCTGGTATTCATGTAAAACATATCCAAAGGCAGTCCCAACATCAATGGCACCATAAGATAGAGCAAAACCTGCGTGGATAGACAACGATACATCAAATCTAACCCATAAAATTATTACTCCTGCAGTAGGAAATGTACATCTATGGGGTACACTAATAAGACTAAGAATAGCCCAGAAACGTAGAACATCCATCAAGAGCTCGGATTCTTATACAAAAGGGTTCCCACAACCCTATTACAAAAAATTGAATAATGTTCAATCGTGTCCAATAGCCATCACTTGGTGAAATACCCTCACAATGACAGACCAAAACACTTCCAAAAATACCTGAGAATCTGAGCTGGAAAAACTAGCACAAACGCATGATGAAGTTGATGTTCATAGACAGCAAGACAGTAACGTGTATATAGGTTTGAGTATTGACACGTAACCATTGAAAAAATTGTGGGAACCTGACACTTGCATAGACATACGGCCAGTCCGTCATAACCGACAAAATGGAAGAAAAAAATGATGCGAACATCCACAAGGGTAACTCCAGATTTAAGAGAAGAGTCAAGTGCTTACTGGTTGTGAGGCTGCCATCGAGACCATGCCGTGTGAATAGAGATACAGGTATGCTGTCATGCTTGTGATCACAGCCACAGTCATCCATGATGCTATCTGAGACATATGAAAGGCCAGCTCATTACTTCCACTTTTGGATTGAATGAACTTCATATCATCTAAATACCTCATTACAACACTGTTGAGTATACTTGTAGTTTCCAACCATCTACTGTAACAAACCAGGAAAACATAAAGCAAATATAACAAACTAATGTCCAAGGCCCTCATGAAAATATCAAAGACAGAGGTATACATCTAAACACTCCTGAACGAAGATTAGGACTTTACCTTCCAAATTTCCTGATGGCTGACGTGATTGGGATCTAGTTCAAACACTCTAGCATAAGGGAAACGCATGGTCAAAAATACGTACACATTTACTCCCCATAACCAAACCATCGCAGACTGCAACACAAACAAGGACAGAATTAGAACAATCACGATTACCCTACAAATGAGCTATCAAAACATATGCGCCTGCAGGAGCATTTGAATTACTCAACATAACAGTGCAGTACCGAACATCAAAACTCCACACGTGCACTGACCTACCCACCAATAATAACCTCCGGCAGTAGACCTGACTAAAGCCAATCTGGTATAATTATTTGTTTAACGTGCACTTTGCTAAAGTAAGTTTTTCGATCTGTAATGAATCTCATAACCCAGACTTCTTTTATTTTATTTGCTGAAACTGGGATCTAAGCAAGAGCAGAAGAACACACAAGCAACACACTTCAATAGGTCAGTAGGGCGTATCTCACAATTGTCAAAGACCAAAACGGTGAAAACAAAGTAGTTGTCGGCTGCTCACCATTAAGAAAACTGGATTGTAATATAAATATACTTCGTAAAGGAATTTGTCTAGTGTCGCCACATTCATAAGAACCAAAGACTCGTATGCTACCTGTACTCAAAGACATCGGCACATCCAAAACCAGTTTCTCGTTAAAGCACAAGAAACCCGATCTGTGATAGAAATTATGGATATCATGACATCTGAAGGTAAAAGAGCATCGCAAGGAAAGAATTAATACCTTCAGGCAAATGAGAATCCAAACAGCGAAAGATATTGCCTGCGAACACGGACACGATAGGCAACGAAGTTGATGATGATGCATATCTTCAAAGTAAAAAGACAGTAAAATTGATGTCGTTCAAGTATCAACAACTTAATACTGCCGATATATCTGTGGTACTCCCAAACAAAAAGGCATCCTTTGAAGATTTGTGCCAACACAGTCGTTAAGCTGCTGTACACAAAGCAGAGTTATTAGCTATCACCGAGGTCAGAGCACTTATGCAATTCAGCATAAAAAACTTACCTGGATCCCCCATGTTGAAGGAGCGTTGACCTTCATTACGCTCTCCACTGAAGATGAACCCTTGTCATTCATTTCCTGGTTGCTCCCGCTGTCCCATTCTGCGGAGCTTAGAAAATCCTTAGAAAATAGAGTTGTCTTCATCCTTCAAGGTGCCGTGGACCTTGAACTTACACATTACAAAAGCATATCCGGACTAGGAAATAAAACCCCAGCTTACATCATAATCTGAATTTATAAAACACAATGAATCCGTACTTCAAACTCACCCGAATCCAGATTGACCGACCTGCCTTCAGCCCGTCGTTAAGGCAGTGAACTCTTCACCGAACTGTATACAGAGTAAGAGGTGTTAACGGACTCTCCACGGGGATATTTAAAAAAGGAGTACGACATTGACTGCTATCTATCGGTATGTGAATATCACTTGCCTTCTAAATCCTAGGGCTTACTTCCTCGTTGCACACAAAATAACACCTGTGTAGCACGTGCACATCCAAATCATGCGAAACTACTTGTTGACGCCCAAGATTTCCATCAATAGTCTAAGACAAGTCAACTGCTAACACATGACTCTGAATATTGGGTGAATTCCGGTGAAAAATTAATGAATTCTGGCTAGCATCATGCAAAATGCAAGAACCGATCATGTCAAGTGCAAACATCGTCACATTGCACGAAAACCTTTACAATTCTATTTTATATATTTCCGTGTTACTCTTGGCCCAGAGTTAATGACCGCGGATGGTAACATGCTGCTTCCATCTCAGTTTAGTAAGACAAAAATTAATAGGGAAGAGGAATTTCACGCTGTAACACAGACCTTAGCAACATGACGTAGGTAAAGAAATGCACACAATGCAACCATCCTAACTCTTGCTCACCGGTCAAGGCAATCTGGTCATTTTCTGTCCGCAACAATCCCCGCCGAAATTGACCTCAATTGACAAGATTTAATGCTTGTGGAAAAGAAACCCCTGGTAAAGAACGCAGCAGCGTGGCCAGCCAAGGAAAAAACCTCTCTCATGTCCACACTGATTCTGCGAGCAACTCATTCAGCTGTGATCCACAAATCCCCAAACATATGGCTCAAATCTAAATCTCTTCTCTTGCGTGACAAAACCTCGCACGCCTCACCCATCACACAGGTGAGCCCCCAAATTCGCACCAAAATGGATGCTCACAACTCATCACAAAATTGACAATCCACAGTGCAGGCGACCCAAAACACGCCAGATTCGGCAATCGTTTCCTCCTCACGCGACAACACTCTCAACAATCTATTTTATTCCTTTCACGCGAACGCGTAAAGTCGAAACTACAACCTCGGAAGCAATTCTGTAGAAATTTGACGCTGTGGAACAGAGAGCACGATAACAAGACATGGCAAATAACAAAACCAGAAAAAAAAACATAAAAGAAAAAGAAAAACAAAATAATAATAATACTAATAATAATAATAGTCACTATGATGATAACTGTAGCTTTATTCAAGGGAAAGAAATCTGGAGATCCGAACCAGGGGAGGCGAATTTACTTACAGACGTGGAGGAGAGATCAGAGGCAAGTGCAGGGACGATGACGAACAATGTGTGGCACGCGGGGGAAGGGATGGCGGTAAGGGAAGGGGTGGAAGAGGTATGTGTGCGATCGGGAAGCAGCGCGAAGCTCGATGGAAATGTGCATTCCGGAGGTGCAGGGCACCAAAGTCACAGAGAAGGCGAGAGAGAGAAAGACAGAGAAAGCACACACACACACAAACAAAGAGACAGAAAGGGACGGAAAGAGTAAGAAATCGGGAGAGAGAGTGAGAAAGGGAGGCCGCGATGATGATGCGAAGCAAACGGGGGCTCCGAGATCTGAAACGCCCGCCCGCCCGTCCCGAGTCGCGAGTCCATGGTGCCCTCGCTCCGCGTCTCTTCTCCGTTCCCCTCATCACCAGCGTTGCGAACCCCACCCGTTCCCATGCCCCATGTTCTCCACGTCCTCCTGTGTCATTCATGAGGGTGTGTGCGCGTCTCTAATCTCCGTTTTTTTTTTAAAAAAAAATAATAATAATATTTTTTTAATTCTAATTTACAATAATATTAATATTGATCCCTCTCTCTGATGGGATCATGCACCACCACTTTCCCCTTGACTTCACTTTCCTTTGGCCTCTTGCTCTCGCTCTCTCTCTCTGCGCCCCCCTCGGAAGTCTTGTATTGTGTCTTGAGACAAGGGTATCATAATATTGAATCCCATTTCACTTCGGCATATGCACATCACCACCTTTGAGATATCCTTGCTCAAATTGACTTTAGTTTGCTTACAGAGCTTTGTTTGATTTTATTTTGTATCTATTTTTTTCTCTATTTTTTGTTTTCTTTTATCATCAGCCAAGAATTTGTTTTTCATGTGTTACAACTAATACTTTATTAATGTAGATTTTTTTAGCTACTCTCTTGCAGTTTCTCCTCCTCTTTTTGTAGAATAGGAAGGCTTCTGCAAGGATTCAAAGACTGGATTCAAAATTCATATTATTCATTTTTATTTATTTATTTATTTTTACATCAACAAATTCATGATTTTTTGAGGAATGTATAAATTTTGTGCTCTTGTTTCTTGTCAGTCCTCTTTAAATTCAATGTTTTCATCATCATCAGTACTTACTAGTATAAAAGATGTTGTAACAAAAATTATGTTAGATTTTTCTTATTAACTCATTTACTTTTATTTTGAAAATTTGATTTTGATTTTAGAATTGAAAATATTACATCTTGGTAGTGAAATTTTATTGCCTTCAAATCACTATCATGATATAGTCATTACATTCAATTACTTTCATATGTGTAACATATAGTTATATACATTAATATGCCATATTGAGCATAATTAATAAAATATCATTATTTTACTACCACTTATATATATATATATATATATATCTTCTATTTAAAATTTACAAGTGGAGTGTTGTGCACACAATATGATATGATATGTACTGTCTTGAAACTGATGGAATTCATAGGTTTAGGCTTTCAAGATGTACAACCACAAACTTATTAAATTTCTTATCAATAAAAATTCCAAATATCATGTCATTTTTCATAATGGATATGGATTATGCTGATCCACACACATATTTGAACGTACAAACTTCAAAATATTTGTAATAGATATTAACTTATCACATAAATTAGCATGTTTTATACTTTTTGTTAAATATAACTTTAATATGTCACAAATAACACAAGGTTTCAAGATTACAGGTGCATGCTATTTACAAAAAAAAATACTAAAAAAAAACTTAAAGTAGATGAGACAATATCTTGAAGCTTTTAACACATAATGTTTAATTATGTTACTAAGAACATTAATAGTGTTCATGAAAAAATAAAAAACTTTTGATTCAAAAAAACTCCTTTATAATATATGTCCATCAAATTATTATTAATAGATATAGTCACATTTTTTTTGATCTTTTTTAATCTAAATTTATTAATTTTTTACTTTTATTGACTTAAAGATTTATTCATTATTTTATTACTTTTAATGTGACAAAATCTATATTATTAAAAATAAACAAAATCATATTAAAAAACACACATACATAGTCAATTATTATTATTATTATTATTATTTCTTGCAATTCTACAAAATTTCTTTCATTCCAACAAAAAAAAAGAATTTATTCTTAATCTTCTACCATTTGTATCTCAAGTCTAATTTGCATTATAATAACCATGCAATACAATATTATTACTTCTAATATAAAATTTGAAGTGCAAAGTGCCTTATATATATGTCATGATTTTCTTAATGATAGCCTAATGGATTGGTCTATCCTTTAATATATATATATATATATATATTCACTAACAATACTCACTATTGTCGTATTACATGTATTCTTGCTTGAAAATATATCAAGCACCTAACAATGGAAGGTAAGTAGAAATGCAACAATAAAATTCTACCAAATCTAATAGAGTCTTAAATAAATTTTAAGTAATCTTTAACAATCTCAATCAAACTTTAACCAATCCAAAAGAAATTCAAAAGAAGTCACAAAAGAAACAAAAAGAAGCCATAAATTAATTTTAAAGAAAATAATAATAAAATCTGAAAAAAAATATAAAAAATAAAATCTTAAAGAAATAATAATAACATTAAAAAAATATTGGAAATAGAAAATTTTAAAGAAATAACAAAGAATCCTTTAAAAATCCTAAAAACAAAAATCTTAAATAAAGCTTAAATAAACTCTAATTAAATTTTAATTAAACTTCAGATAAAATCCTAATTAAATCCTAATTAAAATCCTAATGAACGTTAATAAAATATTAGGTCAAATCTTAATAAAATCCTAATGAAATCTTAGATCCTAACCAAATCCTAATCAAATCTTAAATTCTAAATCAATCTTAATAAAATCTTAGTAAAATCCTAAATCAAGTTTTAATTAAATTTTAATAAAACTCTAGACCAATCCTAATAAAATTTTAAATCCTAACCATAACCTAATCAAATTCTAAATAAAATCAAAAAAATTTCAAGTAAATCTTAATCGATTATTATAGTTATTTGAAACTTCAATAAATATTAATTGAATTATTGATCTTAACTAAAATTTCATCCAAACTTCAACCAACAAGCAATTAATAATCACACAAAATTTAAGAAGAATCAAATTCACCAATTGCAAAAAAGCTCTCAAATTCTCTTAGATGTTGGATGCCTTCCTTCTCCAATTTAAATGTTGATCTTTCAACAAAGTTTTTTCCTTTTTGAATCATTCAATTGTTGCAAAAATTAGATTATGTATAAGTATTCTAGTTTAAATTTATCTCAATAAGTTTTGCTTCAATCATATTGATAGACTCATCTAGAGTGCAAAAACCCTCATTGCCCTAAATTTGAATTATCCAAGATTATAATCCACAAAAACTTTGATAACCTTCAATTTAATTGCTTGATTGACATAAAATTTCTTATACACATTTGTGACAAGTACAATGACAACTCAACAAATTTTTACTTATAAATAAACTAAAAAACTCACAAAATCATGAAATTTATAAACTTATTTTTATTTCTCAAAATCTAAACCTACCAATTACATTTTTAACTTTGAAAAGCCTTCAAAAGCTCAATATCCATCCAATTGACATAAAACTAACTTTTAAAAATCTTTTCTTAAATTTGTTCTCAAATTCAATTTTTTGATTGATAAAAGAATCCTAGAGTTATTGTAGATATATGGTTTTGTGCCTTAGGGTCTAATTTTGACCCATTTTTACAATTGGTCTTCTTTGAATATCAACTTTTAGTAATTTGAAGTAATTTTTACTTAAATCTATTATTAATTCTTTTCTAAAGATATTTGTATTATTTATTTATCTCAATTACTTTGATTAGAGGTATTTATGTTCCTACAAAGTAAATAGAAGTTATTTTTTTAGAATACAATATTAAGACTAAAATTTTTACTACCTTCTTATCATTTATTCTTATTTTTTTATTTCATCTTTTTAATAGACTCTTTTATAATAACATCCATATTTTTATTTTTTACTATATACTCATATTACCACAAAATACTACATATAGTAGATCCATCTTTATATTAACTATTGCATACATAAGTGAGTCTATTATAGCCTTATATGTTATATATTGTATTTTACCTTCATTTTAGCAAATAGTTTATAAATAAAGTCATCAACTTCAAACTGGCCCATAAAGGTGTTCTAATAGACTTGTACTTTTTTATATTGAATCATTTCAATACTTCTTTAATACACTTATTTTAGCTCATTGTAATGGTCTTATTACCAAAAAAATTCAAAATTTCTATTACTAAGAAATAATAGAATTCTTCCAAATTACTCATCTCATATTTTTTTATCTAATTTTACTTTTAAACAATCAATTTTTTTTTAAGATATTAAGAAAAATAATCAAAATATTAATATAAAAGATGAAAATCAATAAAATTCTTTTGATTGTATTATATAAATAATATAATTAGTATCACTTCTTATTCATAAAAAACATATCAATACATTAATACCATGTCTTAAATTATTACTTGAGACCATATAAATATTTTTTTAATTTAAAAATCAAGTTTCCATTTCTTTCTTGAACAAATCCTTGAAGTTGATCCATGTAGATGTCTTTTTTTAACTTTTAATTAAAAAAAACTATTTTCACATCTATTTGATATATTTCTTACTCCATCATTTTTTTAATTGTCATAATAATTCTAATGATGATGAATTTGGCCATATAAACATATGTCTTATTGAAATTAATACTATCAATTTTTTATTAGCTTTTGGCAACTAATCTTCTATTATAACTCATAAAATTGTCCATTACATCCTTCTTGATTTTAAATTCCTATTCACAATCAATTAAAGATTAATTTAATAAAAATTGAGTCAATTTCCATATTCTATTGTCTATGAATAATATATATTTTTTAAAATATATCTTTTGATATTCTATCTATTATAAGAATATTCTTTGATACATACTTTATGTTCTTATTTATCTTGTGGATATTTTTTTTATAGATTTTTTTATCCTCTTAATCTTATTTCTTAGCTCTTGACTTTATGATTGATATAAAATATGTATTGAAGAACAAATATTTTGAAGTCACAACACTTAGCATCAGCAAAGTTGCATACAAAGAGAGTATGGAGTAAGATATATCTCACTTCCAATACCCAGTACTTATAGGTAGTGGTTGCTGCCCAAAAAGATAACTTCTACTCTTTGACTTTTATACACATGGTCCTAGGATCTTTTTGGTATTTCACAAATCTTGAGGGTATCCTATCTCTTGCACTAATTATTCTTATCTAGTCTTTAGA